ATAATAAAAAATATTTTTTTCGGTTTAATATTTTTAACAATAAAAAGAATAAAATAATTTCTTTTTTTTTTTTATTTTACAAAAGAATATTTTTAAAATCATTAATATTAGTCAAAAATATAACGATAAAAAAATTTTTTTTATACGCTCTACGCTAATGTTACATTATCGTTATCTTTTTGGTATTCTCGTGTAACCTTGCTCAAAAAAGGCCCATAAATTGAAGCGAATCAAATCTGATTTCAATACTTTACCGCGTGACCGTGATCATTACCAGCCCAGCAAATATCTAGATTACACAAAAATTATTTCTACTTGCTAAATCATAAGCTCTCTTATCATTTCTTCGGCTTTCAGGTAAATTGTCATTGTCTCAATATTTTTTCAATTGATTAATTCAATTTTCTAAATTTTTTTAATTTTTAAAAATATATAAATGAGTTAAAATTCAAATGTAAAAGTCAATACGAATACTTTAATTAACTTAATAATTTAAAATTTTATACCTTGGTTTGATGCTGTAATCCCCAAAAAGCGAATGATATTGCAATGAAAATCAACCTCCCGTTGAAATTCGAGCTAAATTATTCAAAATATATTAATAAATGAATGATTTTATAATAAATAGAACGAAATACAATATAAATGAATTTGTAATTACCTCACGAACAAGTTCTTTAACAGTGGCATTGTTGAAGCAATGTAATAATTTTAACGCGAGGTATTGCTTTGAACTTTTCCAATTTGCACGATAGACTTGTCCAAAGCTGCCTTTATTTACCAATTTCTTCAAAATTACTAAAATGTAGGTATTCGTAGTATTTGATATTTTTGCTTGAAACATATTCTTCAACCACTCATTTGAATTATTTGAAGTTTACATTTTGATTTTTTTAATCGGAAATTTATTAAGTGAAATGATGAGAAAAAAAAAAATGCATTCGGTAGATCATGCAAATTCTAAGCCAATGCTCATTATTAGCGGTGTAACCGTAAAAAATTTTTTTCTAAATAGTATTTCCTTTTAAAAAACTCCTTTTTGAGTATGAAACCAAAGTAAAATAAGGTTAAAATATTTTAATGACTACGCTCTTTTCCAAAAAAAAAAAAAAAAACTTTAAAAGTGAAATTTTATAATATTAATATATATCAATATATAAGTAATCGTGTAAGTTCTTAATAAGATTGATTCCATTAAACTTTCACAAGTTATCGATGAAATTTGTCCTTTTCTAATTAATTTATTAGGAATAAATGATTAATAGTACAGAAATTATTTTAATTAAAAATTAAGGAATTACATGAAAGCATACGGGAGGTTTGCTATTAAAATCAAGTTATGAACATAGTAAATCATATGATCCGTAACCTGATTTAATAGCTTACCTCCCGTATGGTTTGGGTGAGTTACAAAAGCCATTTGGCTTTAATTTACGCTTCTAAAACCTCTTTGTTAGTCAAATCTTCCTACTTAGTTACACTACCAAAGCCTCTTGGCTTAACACCAATATTCCGTCCGGAATTGATCTTCATAGTCTAATTAAAATTAACATGAATCGTCTGTGGGCAAGTAGCTTAAAATTTTTTCTACTGATGGTGCAATTTTATTACATCATTTGAGGCTGTAAAGGTTGTAACGAGCAACTATATTTATTTAAGGATAAGCCCAGTAAGCCTGAAACTTAAAAAAACATTATATAAAGTGAGGAAATTTTGTTGTCAAAAGACAGCTATTCCAACAAATAATTTAAATTGTAACTCTAAGCTGATTTGCTTATACATACACATCTTTAAGATACTATAAAAACATTTGTGATATTAATCCTTCAACTACTTCCAAAGTCATCATGAAATTTCACATTATCATGCTAATGCTTATTATCGTCATTTCAGCCTTCAGTCATGTTGTTTTCTCAGCTGCTTTTTCTACTTCTTCTGATGGGATCCTCGAACGCAGGGAATCCTACTACTGCGTTCATTTTTGCGGTTGCAATAAATTTTGCGATTGTTCTTATGGTTGCGAATGTGATTGTATGTAACTCTTTCTGTGTAAAGGTTTTGGTTGCTTCATATTTGTATATACGTTGCTTATTGTTCCATATATTTTATTTGCTTTCAATATAATGTCCATTACCAGGCATTCCCTTTTAGATTTGGATTCAAAGTCACGAGTTGAAATTGTATAATGATTTTGAATAATTTTTCGACTTAATCTTATTTATTTGTCAAAATCAATTATTACATATTTCAATGCGTATGATTGTTAAAAAAAAATAGCTCTTAGTGAGGAGAATCCTTTATTTTGATTATATTTCTTTGATTTAGACTTAACATTAAAAAATATTTAAGTTTACCATTACTAATTATCTAAATTTCGTCTTGAAATGACGCAGTCTCAGTGAACTTAGTCGCGTCTCTTATTTGAAATTAGCAATCATAATTTTGCATTTCGACTGAAATTATCAAAAGGTTTTATTCAGAATTAAGTTGTCAAAATCCCATCCCTTTTTGAAACATTTACTTAATTCACAGTTCACTTCATTTGAAAATACCCACTTGGTTTTTGCAGAGTTGACTCAACCGTCCAACAACTGGTATGATAATGAAAATATGGAACCTTCCTATAGAAAGGGGAACTGCCAAAATAAATTATCTTTAATTATATGCTAAATTTGATTTTCAGGTCGAGATACGTTTGAATTTAGATATTTTTTTTTTCTCGGCAGTTTCCCCCCTTTCTATTGGAAAGGTTCCGCGAACTTTCTGATCTAATTTTTTTTTACCCGAAGAATGCCACCTTAACTTCCTAAATTAGAATTTAATATACTGTATATAAATATCTCTTTCAAAAGATTTACCGTGAACCTATTTTGTTGAATTATATAGAGTATTGATAAATTTTCTGATAATCATGAAATCGGTTTTTTCGAGCAACTTATTTTTTTTGATTTTGTTACTTTATTAAAGAAATGAGTATGTACAGAGATTACGAATAAAAGAAAACAAATAATATAATAAAATCTGCAATGTATATATTTCGCGTCCTTTATTTGATAAAAAATGGAAATATTCGTTACTTTCCAGATCATATTATACTTGATTACGCACTAGTTGTCCTATTAAACAGACGGAACACTATCGTGCAAATTTTATTTTGGATGTAAGATTACACATACAGTCACAAGTGAATTACGTGAATTGATTATTGAAACTAATCGACGGGTGAACTTCGGTACTTCAGTTGTTATAAATCTTAACTTTAAATTCATATTTTTTTTTTTTTGCATTTCTTTGTATGAAAACTCAATTTCATCAATCGCACATTGGAGGCCTGAATAAAATTTCCAATATTGTAATTATTAAGCGAAATCAAGAGACATAACCCTATCGATTTAATAAAGTTAATAAACAGGGTTTAATTTTTTTATTAAAAGGCAGGGAATCTACATAAATTACGTCATTATACGCGCGTTTAACACGAGAGTTACTTAATGTTTTGTGAATCTTTTTAATGATATAAAAAAATTAAGTTAACTCTCGCTTTTTGTCTTTAAACTAGTATAAAATTTTATTTATCACGATGCTTTTACACCTAGTAAGGCAGAACAAAACAAAAAAGTAAATCAATAAATTAGCCACCCTTCTTTACTTAATTGGTTACAAAAAAGGAAATCAATAAAATTAGCCACCCTTTAGAGACCTGCATAAGTCCAAATTTTGAAGCCCGGCCCGACTTAATTATAATTATTGGCGATGCGAAATTCAACAATTTTTATTTAACAAATTACAAAAAATAACATTATGTATTTTTTTTTTTTTTACAATTTTTTTAACAAATTATTATTATAATAAATACACAAAAAAGATTAAAATGCTGATATGAAATTAATTAACAACATTAAAAAATTTTATTATACAATCACTGGTGGCTAAATTTTAATTAAATAATGATTTTTGACAAAATTATAAAGAATTCGGGCTGGTACCTTGAACCGGACCCGGCCCGGGAAATTCTAAACTTATATTTGCCGGCCCGTACCCGGCCCGTTGCAGGCCTCTACCACCCTTTATTATACGTAGATCATCTAAATGTTATAAGCTATTAATTTTATAAATTAAATATATTTTAAAATATATTGTCCATAACTTCCGGATCGTTTATGATCTATCATTTTAACATAGAAAATTCAAATGTACCTTCGTTTTTAGTTTCTTCATTTCATACATTTTTAAAAGAGGTCCTTTTAAGTGTTCATTTTGGTTCAAATAGCTGCATTAATTATCACGTCGCGTAGTACTGTATAATGATATATTATGTAATGAACGCTTGTGGCTGTTGACTTGCCCAAACGTAAATAATGTCTCATATTTTCACAAATGGTATTAATTTAAAATATATAATCAACAAATTGTGACAGAAACCTTTAAATATCAAGATTTTAAGAAAAAGGAACTATATCGTTACTGATTTTTTGTACACCTAATTAGACCGTTTATTAGGTTACACAAAATAGCAATTCATGGTTTCACAATTAGGAAATGATTTAGGAACCGTCTCAATTTATTAAATTTTACGCAACTTTTAACAAATCTAATTAAGTCATAAGACCTTGGTGAAAGAAAAATTAGCAAAATTAAATTTGCGCGCAATAGACAGCAGCGAAAATAAAATTCTGAAAACGAATTTTCCTTTTTTTTTTAAAAAAAAAAAAAATCTTACTCCAAATTTCCAAGAATTTCCTTAACTATTGACTTTTATCGATAATTAGGATTATTCTAATTTATAATGATAATAATTAATGAGTAAACTTTTTAATAAAATATTTATTAAAAAAAATAATTTACCTGTTCGGGAAGATATTGGTTCTCATCATTTGATACAATCATCGAGGCATGGTTCCAAAGCTTTTTTTAATATTACTACTACCACCACGCTTTTCTATCTTGTTTGCGATTCTTTCAAGAAAGCAAGTAAAGATTTAGTTCCTACTTAGTCCTCTTAATTCGAGATTTTGGTTCACTAGAATGTTCCATAGTAGCATTTAATTCTTTATAATTAAATTGACGTGTAAAAACTTAATTAAATCGAATTTAATCCAAAAGAATTTGTGAAGAAAGTTACCTTGAACAAATCCATACCAAGTGGAGACTTTCTTGAATTATTTTGTTGAGTAATAATAAAATATGGTACAAAAGTAATCGTATTTGCGTAAGAGCTTATCATATTTTCATGATCGTGATGTGAAGTAGCGAGAGGTCGTAAAGAATAAAGTGGATATTGTGAATGTCTTGTATAAAAATTGTATGAAACAGAGTATTTAGTCGTTTTATATATATAATTTTTTTTCTTGAAGTGCAATAATACATAGTTTTCTAAAATGACCTATTTCGTTAATAAGTGTGCTGAAAAGAAAGCAGGATTGATTTATAAAGTTCTTTTTTTGCGTTTTATTAAAATTTGTTTCCAACACGTGATTTAAATTTTCGATGAGCAGGCTTTACCGAATCAGTTAGTTAATTCCTATTGTTGTGACTGAAATTGGAATTCCAATTTCAATTAACTGATCTTTGAATCTCAATTTCAGATAATCGAAGATTAGCAATTTCAATATCTTCTTATTAAAACTTATCAAATTACACAAATTTTACAAGACCACTTTCGACGACCACTTTGACCATTACTTTTTTCGCAATGACCGGTTCAGTTAGTTGAGCTCTTCGAATTTTGTTTACTTAAAATAAAAAGTCTTATAACAAAAATAATAAAAAAACAACTTTAGTATTTCTACTAAGAGGGAGAATATGACCCCCCCGAATTAAAATTACAATAATTTTATATCAGACATTTAATAGAAGACCCGACCAACGAATCCAAATGGGAGGTTTGCTATTAAAATCGAGTTACGAACATAGTAAATCATATTATACTTAATGTGATTTTAATAGCAAACCTCCCAAATTGATATATTTTATGCTAGAAATATCCAGTAGGAAGTCTTGTATGTAATGCCTATCCTTCAAGGAGTGCATACATTTTTAACCCCGCATAATACAGTATGGTTAAACTACTTTAAGCCAAGAAACCTTATATAAACTTCATCAATTAAGCTGTCTAAATACAAGCGTAACCCTACCTCAGAAGGATTTATCTTGGACGGCACGGTGGGTAGTAGTTCGTTGGATGAATGATATGAATAACTTCACTCTTCTCATCAGACCTTTTGCATCTGTAGAATACTATTAAAGGAGTAACAGAAAGAGAAAAAAAAATGAGAACTTAAATATAAAACAATGATGGGCAAAGGATAAATAAATAAATGTGGCCATTGCTTTCCTCGACAAAGAGGGCGTGAAAGACCAACTCCTCAAAGGAAACTTAGTGAGGCCACTTCTTTTTTTAGAGACGGATAAGCAAACTCTGAGGAGCGTCTGAATCCAACATACTAAGCCGTCGCTCTTAGCTTAATACAATGAATACCACCAGAAATTGCTTCTCATATTTAAAGCTCAAACCTTATACCACATCGTTAAGTATAGGGAGGAGAGTACATCCTTAAAGGGGAAAAAAAAATACAGGTCACTAAGAGTCGATCACTATAATGGTGTGATAAGTGTACCTAAATTAAGAGAAAATACTTTTATTGATTAGAGAAGCTCCGAAACTCTAAGTAATTCAGTGACGAATGTGTTCAAAACGATTATACTCTAATGAAACCTGATTACACAAGGATATCAATCAAAGGATGTCTAGAACACCCTTGAATAATTAACGCATTAGGTGTAAGCATGGGTATGAAACTTACCTCTATGATTTAAGTTTGACTACCGCGGAAAACTTCCTTTAATATTGTTTTGTAATTATCGTTTTCGTCGTGGTTAGAAAAGCGCTCTAAGGTATTTTAACGAATTGATGAAATATAAGTGTTATGATATATTAATAAAGTTTGTTCCACTTTTTTTTGATGTTTATGCTAAGAACCAAAGAATTGAGATATTTGCAAATGTTTATTTAAAAAGTATTTATATAAACAGCAGTCATGAAGATCATGTTTTTAGAAATATTAACGACTTTTGTGTAACATTAGAAAATTTCGCGACCAAAAAAAAAAGCAAAGGACACATTCATTTAGTATAATCCTTTTTATTTTATTTTATTTCATGAAAATATTATTTAAAATTAACGTCAACCATAAATAAACATACATTCTATAAATTTTGCCTCTTACCAAAAAAATTTATAATCATGTCTTCAAATCATTCCAAACAAAATAAATAATGATAATAATAATAATAATAAATTAATAAATAAAATGAATAACAATAAATTAATTAAATATTATTATGTAAGTTTCAAAGCTTTTTAATATAGGTGATATTGACATTCCAGTTCAATAAAAAAAATCGTCAAAATGTATAAAAGAATTATTGGAACCTCATCGATTTTTTGATATATACTAACATCATAATTAGTTTTATGTTTCCTTGTTCTGCAATATATAGTAAATTTTATATAATTTAGTTAAAAATCTATTGAATGATGAAAGTTTTATTAATATTAATTATTTGATAAAATAGTGAAATAAATAATTATAAGTTATTGTGCTTACGTTGATAAATAATAAATTATTGTCAAGCATTATAATGATATTATCGTGTGATCTTACGATGTTGACTTAAAATTACGAAGAGAAAGTTCATCATTCTCTTTCTCATCATTTATATTAGAATCTTTTTAAAAAAATGGAAGAAACACTTTTTAGAAACCACGAAAAAGTTAAATTTGTTTACTTTTTTATGTTAAAAGCCTAATAATATAATTTAACAAATTATTATTTTTATGCGATTTATACTTTTGAAATCCTACTGGAAAGAAAAATTATAAATGTATTCATAGAAGACGAATTGTTTTATTCAATAAAAGCATTTTAATGTCTAAAAAACTATATTTACGATATGATAACTTTTTAATGGTAATGATTCTTCGATTACTTTTGATTATTTTTATTTTTAATATCCTTAATAATTTCTTTTTGAAAAAATTAGTTGGAAGTACAACCATAATACTGCAACAATATACAACCACTTCATATTCAAAATTTACCGCTCGGATTAAAAAAAATCAATTTACAAATTATAACTAATTTTATTACTCTATAAGTGTTCTATTCCGCATATTTGAATTGATATCGCGAAAAGTGAAAAAGAATAAATTATCTAAATACTCACTAAAAAGTTTTTTTGGGATATTTATTAATTAGCCCCCTTTAAAAATCTTTTCCTACTAAAAGTAGGCGATAGTAATTATGGAATATTTTGCTAACTGTAAAAGGTTTCAAAAAATCACAATTTTACCCTTATATTATTTTTTGTATTGAAAATAAAAACAAGTTACTAGAATAAATGTATATTATTTATTGTTTTGTTTGTTAGCTTAAAATATATTATTGGATAGTTAATATAAACTTCTGATACGGATGCTGTCCAAAATCTCGAAATCCAAAATATCGAATGGTAAAAAAATCCCGAATTTTCCTTTAAAAAATTTTCCATGTATAACTAAGCTTGCTTTCTGATTAGGCATATACTACGGCATGACATTACCAAAATTATTAATGTGCATATCGCATAATTTTATTAAAAATTTTCATTACAAAGTCGTTACAATTCATCTTATTAATGATTTAATATTTACATATACAATAAATGAAAATAAATTTCAATCGGAGGGAATTTTGCTTATACAAATAAATGAAAAAAATTTTCAGCAGGATTATTTTCAGATAACCTGAGTTTCACCCGTGACATATATTACTAATTCAAAGTAATTACCCGCGACTCACCCGCGACTTACTCATTCAAAGTAATTCTCATGACCATTCGGGATTTTGAATTTCGAGATTTTGGAATTCGAGATTTTGGACCTTTCGGGATTTAGAGTTTCGAGATTTTGGCTTTTCGAGATTTTGGATTTCGAGATTTCGTAGCATACCCTCTGATACTGTATGACAATAATTAACCTTATAATATTAAAAATAATTTATTAATAATTTATTTATTTAAAAGATTTTAAAAAAACGAGAACTTACTGAATTAAAAAAAAAAAAATTAATTAATTTAATTTTTGAAAAGAAAATCATTCAATTAATGTAACTAAATATTATGATATTCCAGTAAATTATTCAATTAATTAATTATTCTTTTCGCGCAAATTTCATAATGGTTTATGAGAAATCCTTTGTTTAAAAATTAATTTTAATTGTTAATTACTTAACGAAAAATATGGACCTTTGCAATAGAAAAGGAGGAGACGGATGGAAAAAATAAAAAAATCATATTTGGCATATAAAAGTAAGAAAATTGATTTTTTCCGGCAGTTTCCCTCCTTTCTATTGCAAAGGTCCCATATAATTAAATTATACAATGTACAGTATATTTCAAAACCAATATTATGTTAAAAATGTAAATATAAGTTACAAAGTAATCATTATTCAAATTTTCGCCCAGAATTAAGAATTTATGATTACAAAAAATTTTCCTAGCTCTGGCCAAATTTATAATGCCTGCCTGAGTTAACCGACTAATGATTTAGTCAAAAAAAAAAAAAAAGAAATTCAACATTATTATACATAAACAGTGTAGTAAAAAATGAATTATCTACGACATATAAAAATCTTTGTTTCGTAAATTAATTTTGCACATATATTGCATTTTACATATAGAAATTTCACACTTAAAGGCGGGACACTGAGTTATTTTTCAATTTTTATTATAAGAATATATATAGGGTAGTAAAACAATATGAAATACATTGCAAAATCATCGAATTGAAAATAATTAATAGATGTATAAAAAAATAAAAGGAAAAAAATATATTAACTATTCGTTGAAGTCCACTTGATGTTTTAAATAGATGTTAAAATGAGGTTGAATTCGGCTTGGAAACGTCTTTTGGAATTAAACAAATCTATAAGGTTCATTTCTACTTCTTTACTTTCTGAATAAGACCATGACTCCCTAAAAAGATGTTATTTTGTTTTTGTTTTAATATAATTTGTAGTTAATGTTGATATTTAATTTATTAGAAAAATTTTTTAACTATAAAGTTTCAAATTAAATCTATTTAGAAGTTGGTAATTGCCAGCAATGGCAATACGCGCATAGACAATTGCATCAAAGGATGGGTGGACGTGGTTGTGGTTTTGATTTAGGCCGAAATAAGAATAAACACATTCTGTATAATTTACAAATTAAGTGGGTATCGAGCAATGGTGGACACTACTAGTTGATTGAAAAAGTTCGAATCGCAATTTACTTATCAATAAGCAGTTCAGTAGATATCGCCTCGCCTTAATTGCCACATTCCTTGATCCAAGGTTCAAACATTTTAATTGGTTAACTATGATAGACGAAACAACCTTATATGATCAAGATGACATTGAAGAGAGGTAGTGAAGAAGGTGATAGCGACTTGTTCTGAGATTTTGTATAAACGAATTCAGAAGAAAATGATGATGAAGTATCGCCGTAAAGAATAGTAGGCTTTCCAACTCTAGGTCAATAATTCCAGCGACTTTAGAGTTAAGCGAACGATAGTATTTATTCTGACGCGTGTAATCAATATTATTTCAGCAAAAAGGACCAGACTTTGGTGAACAATGTTTTTATTTATAAAACGTAATAACGCCCATTTTGAAATATTCCACAGAAATAGTTTACGGTCCACGACAATATTGGAAATGTCAATAAAATTCAAAATAAAAATTTTTATTAGTTTTTAAGATTTATTTAATAATTATGAGAAAATGGAAGGCGTCAGTAAAAAGGGGAAATCTGAAATTTTTGCTAATAAGCTAATTTTGAGCACATGACTGTGATCATCTTTTATAATATATTTAGTTTAGTAATTAAACAAATAATATGATAAAGTTAATTATATGCTGTTACCCGTTATGAAAATTCGATAAAAAAAGATTATTATTTATTATTTATTTGAAATATTAAATAATATTAAACTAAAAATAACTAATCATTTTTTTTTTATTACTCTACTCTAATATTTGTATTTAGAAATTACACATAAAGTCATCTATTTAAAAAAAAAAATTGATTTTATTTTCATCAAATTTTCTTTTCCCTCTTCGATAAATGTGTGATAGTTTTTCAAAGCTGTAAGAGGATAAAATAAAGTAAATAAATAAATAAATTCTCCATTCGAATATTTGATTTTCAACTGATGCCCGTTAATTTGAACTTCGAAACGTAGCGAATAATTTTTTCTAAATTGGGAGGATTTGCAATTAAAATAAATGACCAATCAAAAATTGCTGCGCACCGATTTAATCGGTTAGAAGTGTAGGTTTTTTGAAATATTAAGGTATTTATTTATTTTTTTTTTTATTTATTTGTTTATTTTTAATAAAAAAAAATTGGTCCATGTTAATGCATTTTTTAACTTTTACAATAGCAAGAAAAAAAAAAAGAAAGAGGAGCCATAACTACTTTATTTTATGATCTTTTGTTTCCAAATTTTATATTATTTTAGATCTAAAAGAATTTATATATAAAAAATTACTATAGTAATGAGCTAAAGTGTTATCTAACAAGTTTTTGGTTCTGATATAGAGTTATCACACTTTCAAGATTTACCAGACCATAACTAAAGATCCAGTAGCTCTATTTCAAACATCGGTTTATCCTCTCAAGCGTAGCAGACGAATATCCACTAACCGTGTGACACGAGCATGCTAGATTATTGGATAGAGGTTCACAATTCACCGTCCAGTAAAGACAAACGATGGGATTATTATTAAAAAAAAATAAGGAATAATCATTAGCCGGCAAGGGTTCATTAAGACAATATTTAAGAATGTCTATCAAGAATTTTGAAGTTAAAACGGATTTATCGAATATAGTCTAAATAAGTTTTTCATTAAGTAAATTACAATTGTAACAATGCTTATTTTTTAGTCATACTAACATCACTAAAAGCCATTTTTTTGAATCGGCAGAATTCTAAATTCATTACGCTCGTTTTGAAACTTGCATTGTTAAAAAAAAAAATACTTTGTACATTTAATGCAAAAAGATTAGTAGAAAGATTTTTAACTCGAGAAAGTCTCCAAAAAATCTTTAGCAAACAATTAGAACAACTTATTGGACTTCGCAACTAAGAGTACACCGTTGTGTAACATTTTTATAATCAAGATTAAAAGGTAATATAGAATGTAAGTTGATGTTTATTTAAATGATAAACGATAATTCAAGAAATAAACGAAATTTCCAAAAAAAAAAAAAAAAAATATAGTACAAAGTTTGATTGGTCATATCACTTACAGTAATTCAATTTTATACTTCAGTATTGTAATAATTTATACGACCAATGACAAGCGGAAGTGGCTGCTAATAAAAGATTTTGAATTAAGTGGTGATTAGGCGGAATTTTGTAATTTTATTTGATCTAAATAAGATTTTATCTGACAAATAATAAAATAACTCTAATCTAAAATAGAGATAAAATCATGTAAATTGATAATAATATATTAATAAAGTTAAGCTAATATTAAAAGCTATTCTATAAATAAGTACGACTAATACTAATTCTTTTATCTTTGGCGATGAAAATTCCAGATTCACTTTGAACATGATAATACGCATAATGAAGAGAGGCGGTAAGATAATATTTGGCGTCATTATTGGCTCACAACTTATCAATCAAGTAAAGAAAGACAGTCGGATGATTGTATATCTAGGATAAAATTTGATAATTTTATCGAAATTCTAAAGTAATAGTAACAATAACCAATTACTTACGTTGGCTCCGATACTGAAAATTTCGACAGTGGTTAACCTAAAATTAATTTTCGATAAAAAGAAACGTATTAAATAAAAGAACATTTTTTTGTTTTTTTAAAAAAAAAAAATGTTTAATTAAAAATAAAGAGACTTAGATTTTTAACATTACCATATTTTTTCATACGACCCTTGGGGACGACAAAATCCGCAACTTTAGTGCTATTAATCATATACATGATACCATCAACAGGTTTCTTAAATTCAATATTTTTGATATTTTTGACAATACCTGTCCTGTAAAGTTCATTTTCTTTGTATTCATATGGAGCGGAGAAAGCAATTGAGCCAAAAGGGTAACTATCAAAAGAATGGTGGCTGAAAATTTCATTTTGCTCATCAAGGTAAGGAAGGTTATGTGAAAGAATAATTTTTTTTTTCGGAGATGAATCCTTTATCAAGGATTAGAAGTAAAGAACAGATTGAAAGTTATTTTTCATTTCGGAATTATATTAATTCATTAAAAAAAGAATTCATAATACTTCATCTGTTAAATTCCATAACTTTTTGATTATCGGTAAAATTTTATTTTGATCACAAATTTACTCAGAAATAAATTATCACAAGGAAGTGATCTAAAAAAAGGAAAAGTGGCTTATATACGACCCCGGATCAAAATTTTGTTATTATTATGTATTACTGGTACGGTACGATTATTTATATTAACATCACAATATTTCAAACACTTTTGAAATTAAATTCAAGGGACAGAAGTTTTATGTACTCTAAAATGGAAAAGATTTTTCTCTTTAAATTAATTGTTTTATTTATTTGTTGAAAAAATTTAAATTTTCATTCATATTCAATGAATTAACCTGAACATTTTGCTAAATTAGCCGAAAATTCCTTTATATTTTTTAAAAATCGGAGTATTTCGTTTAATCTGAAAAAAAAAAAAAAAAAAAAAAATACCCGGGATCAATCTCATTAATCTAAAATTGTACGTTCATTTAATAGGACATATACAATTGTTTATCATCAATATTATAGTTATCGTTCTAACAAGTTTCGGGACATCGGCCAAACTTACTGCCGAAAATTGCGTCAATAAAAATTTTTTCAACCGTTTTAAAAAAATTAAAAATTTGATAGAGGCAGAATGATTTGCTATCTGTTATGACCCTCGATGCTTTTTTTTAACACATTTTGACAGTTATAACTTTATCCAATGAGTATACTTTTTTTCAAATGAATTGGAAAAATGTTGCGATCTTTCAAGATACGGGTTAGATTTTAAAAGCAAAGGTAATTTTATTCAATGCTAAAACATGATATTAACGAACAACTAGAATATGAAATTTTGAAATGAAAAAAAATTATGAAATAACAGAAAAAAAATATCGATAAAAGAACGAATCTATTATTTTATAATGGATACGACTAACTAACTAATTGATTTAATAATGATACTTTTTTTTCTTGTCATCCACGGTGATGAAAGTTCCGGATTTACCTTGGACGTGATTTTTTTTATGAAAGACGGTGGCTATAAGAAAGTATTTGGCACGATCATTGGCCCATACTTTATC